TGTCAAAGCGTCCATTGTATCACTGTTTTCCCTTAAAACAGGGTGTATGATTTTCGATGGCCGTTCTGTGATATCTTCTACAGCTTTCCGTTTGCTTGCTACACTCAAAATTTGTCTATTTAATTTCTTTATGTCATTTTCATGATTGTGCACTGTTTCTTTTCGAGAAATTATATTATCTGAACCTAGCGTAAATACTTTTGCGTTACATTTACTTACAGTACAAGTCCAAAACTTTTCACCACTTTTAAGAACCTTTTTTTCACGAAACTTATAATCATCCCACACAAGTAACGACTTTCCCTTTTCACTTAAGATCATTTTAATTTCACTCATTTTTACAAGACTGCTCAAAATAAACTAAACACAAAACACTCACTTCAAATATATATTAGAATTTCGAAAGTAAAGTAATAAAATGCTCGTTAACGCAATGAATCATCATTACAACCTTAATCCCTAATCCGCAATTCGGTGCACTTACTATAATTATTTCTCAGAAGCCTGGTCCTCAATTCGTGTCATATTTTCAGGTACAAAAATAAACCCTTCTTAATATTTTCATTTTGGTTCTCAATTCGTGTCTGCCCACAAAATCATATAATAATAATAAATATAAATCTCTAGATCGTCACAGCAAACAACAATTAAAATAAAAATTATATATTTTCACCATACTCATAAAAAAATTGTTATTTCAATGCGAAACAAAATTTTTATTATTCTATCAAAGGCAACTGATCATTTACTTGTCTCAAACACCTCCTCTTAAACGATGATTTTACTATCACCTACAGTCTCCGAGAGTATAGTTTATTGCCGAGAAAGTTTAATAACAGCGTAGGAATTCTGGGTTGGAGCAATAAGAAAAAAAGCAGCTAAAAAGTGAAACGTTTTTAATAACTCTGCCTGAAAAAGTCTCGTTGGAATTACAAAAATTTAAGCGCATAATGTATTAAAAAGGAAATCTCTTTAAAAAAATATACGAAAGCCGAAATTTCATTAATTTACTGTTCTGTAACAACATGAGATAAATAGTTTATTCAAAAAGAAACCTAATATTCATGCGGACTGGATGGTATAAAATATATTGTTAATTTTTCTTTATATCCGAAATAATAACATTTCAAATGTCCGTCTTTAAATTTAATTGAATTACGTATAACCATTTAAACTTTTCTTTTTGAAAACCACACCACGAAGAATCTACGAATATATGAACTTTGTTTTGGAATATTTAGCTACCTTATTGTGTATAATTTATTTCCAGCAGACAGTAATTTATTATATTTTAATTTTGTTGAATAAAACGTTTCTATAACTTAATATTCAGTTCTGATTTTTTTAGTATGTTCTGCCTTCTGTCAATCTAAATTTGGCTAGATTTATCACCATTTATTTTCATTTTCAACAATTTCATTATTTATTCTTATTGAAACATGTGGTACATTTTTATTGGCGTATTCTATAAATGATTTAATTTCTATTAATTTGATTTTGTTCCCAATTGCAATTTTCTAGAAGAAAAATATTTTTCAGCTATTTATTTATTACCATATTATATTTACTCAATAATCTGAAAGTTATTGAAATATCAACAATATCCAGATTTCTCTATTTTCTTTACATACTATATTCGAAAAATCTCTGAATATAGCGTACAAAACTTTGTTATTTTAGGAAAATTTTATTTTATATAAGAACTCATCTTGTTTGTACTGTATTGAAATATGTTTTTCATAAAGCGTTTGAAGGCTTGATTTAATATCAGATGTGTGCTTGGATAGCATCATCCTTTCTTTGAAATAAAATTCCATTACCTCTACAAGAATAGCAAGATTCTCTCTTCATTTTTATTTTTCTATCATGTATTATCTCTCAGCACATAGAATCTAGCAAGCACTCGCAAATTAAGGGCGTTATACACTTAAAATGCTGGTATACCCTGGGGAATGAAAAATGGTGCTTTGTAATAAATAAACATTGTTTTTCAAATAGAGTATGTTAAGTAAATAAAATATTTTGCTAATATTTTCTGTTATTTCGGTATATTATCGATTAAATATTCATGATAATGTAAGGTATATTGGTGTGTGGCTATTACCTGTCGGGGTTCATAGAAATACCAATACATTGATTTTTAACCTTATCTCCCTTAAATTAAAATTACAATTAATTTCCAATCGATGTTAGAAATACCCTATACTATAAAAAATTATATTTTCTTTTTGATGGGTCTAGTTTTAATTTTCTATCCTTATTGGTTTTTACATAATGGGCATTTTTCCAAATTTTATGTCGTTTTTTGTGTCTCTCTCTTAAATTAAAATTACAATTAATTTTAAATCGATGTTAGAAATACCCTATACTATGAAAAATGATATTCTCTTTTTGATAGGTCTAGTTTTAATTTTCTATTCCAATTGGTTTTTACATAATGGGCATTTTTCAAATTTTATGTCGTTTTTTGTGTCTCTCCCTTAAATTCAAATTACAATTAATTTTAAATCGATGTTAAAAATACCCTATACTATAAAAAATGATATTTTCTTTTTGATAGGTCTAGTTTTAATTTTTTATCCCTATTGGTTTTTACATAATGGGCATTTTTCAAATTTTATGTCGTTTTTTGTGTCTCTCCCTTAAATTCAAATTACAATTAATTTTAAATCGATGTTAAAAATACCCTATACTATATAAAATGATGTTTGCTTTTTTATAGGTCTAGTTTTAATCTTCTATCCCTATTGGTTTTTACATAATGGGTATTTTTCTAAATTTTATCTCGTTTTTGTGTCAAAATTTGGAAAAATACCAATTATATAAAAACCAATAGGGACAGAAAATTAAAACTAAACCTATCAAAAAGAAAACGGCATTTTATAAAGTATAGGGTATTTCTAACATCAATTTAAAATTAATGGTGATTTTAATTTAAGGGAGAGACACAAAAAAAATTTCGTTTTTTGTGTCTCTCCCTTAAATTAAAATTACAATTAATTTTAAATCGATGTAAGAAATACCCTATACTATTAAAAATGATATTTTCTTTTTGATAGGTCTAGTTTTAATTTTCTATCCCTATTGGTTTTTACATAATGGGTATTTTTCCAAATTTGATGTCGTTTTTTGTGTCTCTCCCTTAAATTAAAATTACAATTAATTTTAAATCGATGTTAGAAATACCCTATACTATATAAAATGATGTTTTCTTTTTAACAGCTCTAGTTTTAATTTTCTATCTCTATTGGTTTTTACATAATGGGCATTTTTCCCAATTTTATCTCGTTTTTTGTCTCTCCCCTAAATTAAAATTACAATTAATTTTAAATCGATGTTAAAAATACCCTATACTATAAAAAATAATATTTTCTTTTTGATAGGTTTAGTTTTAATTTTCTATCCCTATTGGTTTTTACATAATGGGCATTTTTCCAAATTTCATGTCGTTTTTTGTGTCTCTCCCTTAAATTAAAATTACAATTAATTTTAAATCGATATTAGAAATACCCTATACTATAAAAAATGATATTTTCTTTTTGATAGGTCTAGTTTTAATTTTTTATCCCTATTGGTTTTTACATAATGGACATTTTTCAAATTTTATGTCGTTTTTTGTGTCTCTCCCTTAAATTCAAATTACAATTAATTTTAAATCGATGTTAAAAATACCCTATACTATATAAAATCATGTTTGCTTTTTTATAGGTCTAGTTTTAATTTTCTATCCCTATTGGTTTTTACATAATGGGTATTTTTCCAAATTTTATCTCGTTTTTGTGTCAAAATTTGGAAAAATACCAATTATATAAAAATCAATAGGAACAGAAAATTAAAACTAAACCTATCAAAAAGAAAACGGCATTTTATAAAGTATAGGGTATTTCTAACATCAATTTAAAGTTAATGGTGATTTTAAATCGATGTAAGAAATGCCCTATATTATAAAAAATAATATTTTCTTTTTAATAGGTTTAGTTTTAATTTTCTATCCCTATTGGTTTTTACATAATGGGCATTTTTCCAAATTTCATGTCGTTTTTTGTGTCTCTCCCTTAAATTAAAATTACAATTAATTTTAAATCGACGTGATTAAGTATTTTTCTTTAGTCTTCAAAATAAAAGAGCTGATAAGAAATAATTGAAAAGCACTACTATAATGTTCCAAGATACCAATAAAACACCGTGTATAATATTGATTTCATTGTTGTCTCCTTCATACGTTGTAAATTCCGGTGAAACTAAAATTGACCACGATATTAATTGATATCTTCCTTACCCAGTTAGTGCAGTAATTCGTTACGAAATTCCGGACGGAGCCACTAAAAAATATTTATATCTATTAAACTCCCTATAAATGTCAAAAATTGTTAGAGCTTAATTGAGCTTCCATATTTTTCATTAAAGCAACCTTTTATCTTTCGTTCACGCAGGCACGCAACTATTAAATTGCGTTTTTCTGCTTTTTCCGACACTCAGCGACCATGCCCATATTTCTCCTTTTTTTATTGCCATATCGCTCTTACTTTTATTCGTCTACACTTACAAAAATCCACTATGGGGAGGGAGGCGACACTGTAGCTACATTTGGAGGATAAAGGAGGATGGACTCTTGCTTCCGCTTTTAATCTGACAGCGCGAAAATATGGGTGATAAATTTGCTTTCACTTTCAGACCTTTTGTTCAATCGAAATCGTACAGGCAGACATTTTCGTAATATATTTTTTCAAAGAGCTCAAAAAATATGTTAAATATTTCTCCATATTCACAAGATTTATGAGGAATTACTTCTTTTTTTTTAAATTTAAAATCTATTACCAGGTAATGCCAAAGATAAAGACTACTCATATATTTTCCAAAAACAAACGACAATATTGGATTGCTTCACATTAATGAACTACACTGTATATAGAGTAAATTTTTTTTCAATGTAATAATTTGGTATAAAATGTGTATGTATGTGATATAAGTAAAACATTAAAGTAAATTCAAAATCTTACCATCAAAATCTACTTTTCTTAGATATTTCAGCAGCTCAGTCCCATTAGTTGGTTTCATAGCTTCACATAAACCGGAGGTACCGGGACAGTGATCTCTGTGCATATCCCTGAAAAAAGAATATGATATTTAATTCCACAATCACGATTAATATTCTAAAATATGTCAAAAATTATACGAAAATTTGACACGTGGTGGTTTTGGGTAATAATAATGTAGATGTTTAAAATTAGAACATGGATATGTTGGTCCAATTCGATATCCTGAAACTTTGATGAAATTTACAAACATTGACCAATTTCAAAAAGTACTTTTAAAAAAATTCAAGTTAGATAGCTCTGGAGCAATTTAAATTTAAAAGTTTTTTTCTTATAACATTTATTATTTTAATGTTCGTTCTGTTTACAAACGTTCCGTTTTTTCACTGCTTCACATGAGTTCGTTAGCTCTCAATTTGTATTTAAATTATAATTAATTTTTTGCTCACCATTGTATAACAACTTGCTATAAACCTCGTATTTTTCAAAACAAATTGAAGTCTCCTCTATCTGGTATGTTTTTCTATCAAAAAATAATAAAACAGGTATTGTGTCAACATAAGTTTCATATAAAATATGACGTCGTAAATTTACTTTAAAGAAATGAGCACTGCCAATTTGGTTGTCGGATATATCAGCTTTCTATATTATATATTTCTTGCAAAGAATATATTTTTTGAGTAAAAGAATGGTGAAAGAAAATTCGGTTGGTTTTACATCAGGCTCTACTGATATTGGATTGATAAAAAAAGGGGATTTAAGAAAGACGTACAGGCAACACAGAAGATTTAGATTTTTAATGCATACGAAAAAAAAAAGAGGCGTAATATATGTATCTTTTTCATCAGGATTTTTTTTAAACATGATACTTTCTCCCTCGCGAAATTTAATTTAAAGAAAAATTGGAGTAAGGAGAATGTAGCAGAGACAGATAACAACATTTTTTTAGGTGTAATGTAAAGTAGAGTGGCATTTGGATTATTTGATTTTTATTTTATGCATTTTTGACTTTCAACTTTTAATTCTATGTTTCAAGCTTTTTTAATTAGTATACTGTGTGCGCGAAAACTTATTCCTTATTTCTGGTAAAATTTAATTTGGAATTTTCGGAGAATGAGACGGTATAGACGTTATTCCAAATTAAATTTTAGCAGAAATAAAGCAATGCTAGCAAATACTTCTTTGGCTAATACAACAGGCATTGAGTTATATCGAAAGGGAAGGGAGCAGCTATAGAATTTTAATTTGAACATTTTGCTTACTAATGAGAACTTCATTCAACGCCTGTTGTGGTATCAGCTAAAGGAATAGTTAGTTGTGTGGTATATTTGTTTTATTCTAAATTAAAATTTCTAAAATAATTTAAACAATGCATAAAATAAAACACAAAAACTCCGAAAAAATAATCCAAATAGCATTTTATTTTACACTAAAGCTAACAAAATGTTATTATTATCTATCTCTGTTATATCTTTCTCCGTACTCCAATTTTTCTTCAATATAAATTTCGAGAAGGAAAAAGCATCATGATTAAAAAATCTTGTTATACACCCTGATGAAAAGATACATATATTACTCCTCTTTTTCCGTATGCATTAAATCTAAATCTTCTGTGTTGCCTGTGCGTCTTTTTTAGTCCCCTTTTTATCAATCCAATATCAGCAGAGCCTGAAGTAAAACCAACCGAATTTTCTTTCACCATTCTTTTACTGAAAAAGTATCATCATTTTAAAGAACACGTTCGACATCATCATATTTTATATCAAACTTATGTTGACACAATACCTATCATATTATTTTTTGATAAGGGAATGTGATAGATAGAGGAGAACTCAATTTGGGTTGAAATATGCGAGGTTTGCAGTAACTAAAGTAAAGTAACTAAGTAACTAAACAATGATCAGCAAAAAATTAATGTCACATTAAAATTACTATATTTTTGAAAATAATTTGAGAAGTATATATTATATATATGTAGGCATTTATTTAAATGAAATATTTATCTCACAGTCTCTGCCATATAATTATTAATATTATATTTATAACAAACTACTTAAAAAGTTAACGGATGCTCATTAAGTCCCTTTAAATTGAAGTGTAGCCCTATCTCTCTTAGATTTAATAACTCGTTCTAACTGTCTTCTCTTGATATTCTTACTTTTTGCCATTGAGTTTAATCTTTTCCCTACGGTCCTCTGACTGGAACTTTATTATCATCCCAAAGGGCTATATTTTTTACGATGTGATCAAATCATTCCTGTACTTTTTTAGTAACTTTTCCCTATATAAATACGGAAAAAATAACGTTCAGAATAAGTAAAATAAACCTCCTATTATTTTAAATAAATCACACGGTGTATTTTTATATCTATAGAAGGGAGATTAAAACTTCAAATGTATCAAAGATTATTCAAGGTGAGAAGAATCTATATTTCTACCGATATAAACTATATAATGTTAAAAAAAAACAACTAGTGAATTAAATAAAATGTGATAGTACTATAGTGTAGTAAATAAACTAGTCACAGTCACAGTTGCATAACGCAAAAAAATGTACCAAACCTTATCAGATGACAAAAAAGTTTAGGTGAAATAAAATAAATACTTTCTACTAAGCAATCATACAAATAGAATATCCAGTGGCGTACCCATATTTAGTTTATAAAATAAGAAAATGATTTAATAAGAAAAATGGCAATGAAATGCTCACAGTGTGAGATTATTCATCAGCCTACCATGCTCTACATGTGATGGATGCAGAAGATTATACTGCAACCAATGTTCTGAATTAACAACCATAGAACTTAGGTGTATACAACTACGCACTAGAATTCTGAAATTTCATTGTGCAAAATGTAGGAATTATGACTGATTTTCTAAAGAAGACTAGTGAAGATAAGGATGAAATAAAAAGAAGTAAAGATGAAATAATAAATAGTAAAAATGAAATAATAAAAATGCTTCAAGAGAAAATTAAAGAATTTGAAGAAAAATAAATATTGTACCTACCATTTCTTATGCTGATATGGTGAATTTACAAAAAGAAGACAATGAACGAAAACCTAACCCTCCAAAAATTATTAATAAACCGAAAATACCACAGAGTGGAAACAAAACAAAAACAGATTTAGGAACAAATATTAACCCAACTTACTCAAAAGTTGGAGTGAAACAATTAAAGATAGGAAAGAATGGTTCCCTTATACTTTCCTGTCAAACATAAATAGAAAATAATTTCAAGTTCAAATATTAATAATAGTAAATTTTCCTTAGTAAAACTACAAAATATCAATGAACTTCAAGAATATTTAAATTAAAATATTAAAAGTATACTATTTTTCACTGAATTAGATAGTAAAATAAGTCATAAAATCAAATAAACTCGTTATTGGAATGCAAGCTTTTTTTATGACAAATACAAAAAAGTACCGGCAAGAAATAACATGAAATTACTTATAACAGTGAAATTCAAATCTGAAATAGTGAATTATCAACAAGTTAAATAATATATAAAGTAGTTGAAATATAGTAATTGATTTAAATAACTTACATTTTATCACAAATAAAACCTTTTTTTTTTAAATCACCGGCATTCTGACTCTCCGATGTTCGATGAGTCTCTGCCTCTCTCCAGCGCATGCACGATTTTTGGTTCGTTGGAATTTACCGCAGTCAAAAACGATAGAATAGGTGGACGCTTTATATTGCCATTCAAGGTGGACGAAATTAAATACGATCCCTTTCATTACTGAGGGTCTTAACTCAGGAGATGCTATGCATGAATTGATTTGATATGTTACTGATGAAATGAATACTGGTAACAAGCAAAAGCATTTGACACAGTGCCACAACAGAAGCTCTTAAATGTTCTTGAACAGAATTAAGTGAGGGGCATCGTGTTGAAGGTTTTTGAAAATTACTTGACACACAGACAACAGAAGGTAAAGGTCAGAGATAATGTGAGTAACCCTGAAAATATACAAATCGGAGTGCCTCAAGGGACTGTTCTGGGACCTATACTATTTAATTTATATATTAAGAGCTTAATTCAGATTGATATTCAAGGTAAAGTTGTATCATATAATTAAAATAATAATAAAATAATTAAATAAAATAAAATTTTAATTTTTGTCAGCACATACAGGTGTTCTCACCTAGGTGCTTGTTATTATATAATTGGTTTCCAATATTGTACTTTATTGTAACTCATTGTAACTTATAACTATTAAACTATAACTATCTAGTAAAATCTAAATAGTAAAACAGTAATATTATTATATCAATTTTAATGTATATAATATAATAAAAGTGGGAACTTCCTCAAGCATGACTATTTAAAAGATAGTGAACTATAAATATTTCTACTAAAGCATAAAATAACCGAAAAAAAGTTGTGACTGTTAAATTTATTTATAGCTTTTTAAAAACACTGATCCAATATCAAAAGTAGAACATCTAGGTTTCTTCTTTCAATTTTATTAGTGGAAAAAATTTGGGTTGGTCCCTAAGAAAGTGGATTTAAAAAGATACCCAAGGGATATATATGTTAAGACACATGTAGGTATGATATCCTCATATTTTATGTTTATTCTTATGTAGACGTAACGTGTTTATTATTTTTTGATACCAAAAAGCACTCTTCAAGAATTTACTTAGCATAAAATGTTAGTAAAGTTACGATTTTATCTCAAAATATATGGACTGGATTATAAAAATGGCGTATTTATGCAAATATGGTTTGTACAATAGAAATTATACCTTAATGTAGTTTTAGTTATAATAAATAATAATATATTTTTCCAAAAGAAACAACAATAAGTATGCAACAATTGGGAAAAACACATTAATAATCACTGAAACACCAAAGATGGTTATGTGTGATATTTAAAATATACAATATATGATTTTAAAATGTACAATTAAAACTAAAACTTTTTTTATGTAACATTGTCATAAATTAAAAAGTATATAAAATGAAAATGTATCTTTAATTTTTTCTAAAAAGCTTTTTTTACCTTTTGATCTTTTTTTTTTAATTAAATTCTCTTTATCTTGTATTTGTCCTCTTGTGCAATCATGTGCTTCGATCAACACAGTGTTCTTTGTCAGAAATTGTGTACTGCAGATCTAAAGAAAGAATAGCTGACAGCAATCTAATACTTTAGAGCCTCAATATAGCTGGTCACTTGGGTAAAGCCGGTCTTTATTTAACATAATTTCTGAGAATCTTCTTTGACGAACTTTTAATGAATTCAGGTAAGTTCAAGCTACTTCCCCCCAACCTATGATTCCATAACTGATGTGTGATTCTCTTCATAAATATTTTTCCATACAAGATCTCTTATTTAATATTAATCTCTTGTCAAAATTATTTATGAAAGAAATTTATCCATCTACACTATTTACTATGAGCCATAATATATTGAAAATAGGATACATATAAGAAAAATAAGAGACTATTTATTCTCATGAATTGGATAACAACCGTGTTCAACGCTTTCACAAATAATTAATTATTCAATGTGGAAATTAATTATTGAAGTAGTTAGAAGTTTCCGCCAGTTACCAGTTAGGTTCAATTAGTGAATTAATTCTTGTTGTAAATAACAATGTTAAACCAAGACAACTTATTTAGATAAATACCGCTATTAATCACATTGGAGATGAATTATGTAGGTATATCAAAAACTTTGAGTTGTAGACATTTTGGATTACTCGTATTGATAGAAGGTTAAAAGGGAGTTTAATACCTACTTAGGAACTTATACGTCAAAATGTTTTGCTGTTAAATTTCAGGCATACAAAATGAATACTAAATAGCAGGTTTTAATAATAAATTTTGTTAGCATACTTCAGATTAGAATTTAGCAGTCAGAAATAATCAAAATTAATAAAAATTACCCCACAACTTTCCTGGTAAAAATACAATTTGACTGGAATATATCTTAAAAACTAAAATTCTTCGCACTAGCATAGGCAAATGTGTGCTTACTCTGGAATCTCTGGATTATAAAGATATTACTGTTGCTAGCACAAGCCTAGAGCTGAATACCATAGATACACAATTTATTGTGGATTTGTAAATACAGAAAAATTTTGTTATAATATAACAAGTAACTAGTATTTTTTTAAATTTTATATATTTTTTTAACATGCTAAGCCTTGTATCTAATGTAATACCCAGATATTTTTTTAGTTAGCATGAGATACCTGTGCATTACACTTCTCAATTGGTGTTTGTTTTTGTCTATATTTTATTTGCAGCATCTTCATGATCTTTATCTACCGCTAGGATGGTAGTATCATCTAAAAATATAGCTACTACGTCTTGTTTTAGTTACGGTATGTGTAAGCAGGTTCAAAATGGAGCCCAGGATGCTTCACTGCTTTCTTTTAATTCAGAGTTTACTTTATCTTGTTCCACTCTGAAGAATTTATATTAAATGTATGAAATCAATAGTTTAGGGTATGGCTATAATGCTAAATTTTATCAAAAGCCTGCGTAACTTCAAGGAAGATATCTGAGCTTGATTTATGGCAGCAGAAAAATATAATCCGTTAAAATCTAAATTTAGCAATGAGTTATAGAAATCAGTAAAAGATGAATATTATCTTCCGAGTATATGTTTGAAACGATGCAAAATAAGTCGTACTACGTTAAAAGAACAATTTAATATTTATAAGTAATAATAATAATAATAGTAATAAATCGTCTTTATTAGAGGAATATAATTTATATAAAAAATTAAATTTTTTTACATGGGAATATAAAACTAGAATACTGATGCAATCAGTGGCAAAGTCTAGCTATTATAGCTACTCCTACTCCTCCCACTTTTTAAAAAAGTGAGTGCATTATAAAACCGCAGTGGATGAAATACATTAGACATCTTAGACCATGAAATAACTTCATTAAGAAAATAATAGTATGTATCTTACCTGATAGCATACGCGAATGCTAGAACAGCATCTGAGACAAATTGAAGTTGATCCTCAAAAACAGTGTTGTTCGCAGTTAATTTTTCTGTTCCATTGCAAATATTGGTGATTTTCATATTGTAAGGCGTCTTTGAACTGTTTGGATAACGGCAATTGAAATGGTGCTCCCAAAATTCTGTAATAAAAAATAATAAACTCTAAGATAATTGAAGAACAATGTGTGTTCGATTTGGAAAGATATAGTAATTTTAAAAATTTAGGGACAATCTTTGATAGCAAACTAAGTTTTTTTATTCATATAAATAGTATTGTCTTAGTAGACTACAAAACACTTGTATTAGTGACAAAAAGCTGAACATTTTTCGTTGATCAAAACTTCAGTATGCTTCTGTAGTATGGTGTCCAGGTTATAATATACATATTAACACGTTAAGCGCCACGACAATGAGCAATGACCGATTATTTACATTGATGTATCAAGTTCTTCTGGGCAGTATGCTTGTTAATACATGTGATCTGACCACTGTGGAGTGTGCGGAAGTTTTTCTTTACTCAGACATATACCTTTGATAGTAATATCTTTATAATAAAGAGAAAATTGATGGTGGCGTCATCGATAATATCACCGCAAATAAATTTCTCAACAGGCCATGGCAGATACTGGTGATCGCTTGTTTTTATAAAAAAGTTTAAAAACAATATTAATTTTTCGTTCAAGAGTAGTTTTATCAAACATTTTCCAATATATAAGATTGATTAATTAATTTTCAAAAATTTATTTGTTTATGCTGATTCCTGGCGTATGCTATTTTCCACATATATATTTCCATCAAATCATTATAAAATAAAATAAATTAATATTGTGCATTTTAATCAATATATTTAATAAAAAATTTAAATGAATCAGTATTTAGAAGAATAAAATAATCCTTATGTGGAAATAAAAATAGTAAACTATCAATTATTGTAACAACTTGATAAGAATGTTTTAATTTGTTTATAATTAACTTCCATATCGCAAGTCAAAGTGTGTACTACATCAAAAGATAAGAAAAATATTTGAGATGAAAAGCGATCTGTTAAACTAGTTGATATTTTATTATAAAACGAACAACAATGTTATTGTATATTTTATTAAGCATTGTAATTTTACTAGTTACTGCGCTCTTTTACCGATCCTGTGTTAAACCTCATAGTTATTGGAAAAATAGAGGTGTTCTACAAGGAAAGTCAGTATGGATGTTTGGAGAAAACTGGAAACTCTTATTGGGACAGGAAAGCTTTGCAGAAAGTGTTCAAAGAATATACAACAAGTTTGCGAATGTAAGGTACGCGTAGTTTTTACTATTTCCATTTGTACTTTGTACCTTTTTGGATATCGGATTTATAAGTCCTATTTGGATATTAAGAAGCAAGTAGTTGTTTTCTCAATTAATGATTTGCCAGGAAATATTCTAGTAGTAACATTATTTGTAGACTAAATATATAAATATTCATTTAAAAAAATAAAGTATCGCTAGTCTCGAAATGTTTAAATATATCCAGAATAAATAAAATACGTTCAAAAGTGTATAACAAAGAAAAATAAAACAAAGGAAAAGAACAACTAATGTAATATATATAAAAAAAATTAATAGAGTGCTTAAAAATTATAGGAAACGAGATTACTTATTGATGATTGCAATGTAACAAAATATCAATGTTTTTCAGGTATTTTGGAACATACCAATTTAATACACCTGTATTAGTTATAAAAGATCCAGAATTGATAAAGCAAATTACTATTAAAGATTTCGAACACTTCGTAGATCACAGAATGTGGGTACCAGAAACCACAGACGAAATGTGGACACATAATTTATTTTCTCTAAAAGGTAATAATCTACTATTTTTTTATTGAATTAAATGTAACTTTTCTGTTAATATAAATATACATAACTGTAATATTAATGCAATAATAATTTTAGGAGAAGAATGGAAAGAAATGAGGGCATTTCTTAGTCCTGCATTTACAGGAAGAAAAATGAGAAGCATGTTTACTCTCATGAATGATGCTTCAAAACATTTTATTCAATATTTGGAAGGTAAAAACGAAACTATGCTGGAATTAGATTTTAAAGACTTCTTTACCCGTTATTCCTGCGATATTATTGCAACAACTGGATTTGGCGTTGAAGTAGATTCCTTAAAATATCCCAACAATGAATTTTTTCGTATGGCTACAGAAGCTGGAAAACTTACTGGAATTAAAATGGCAGTATTTTTTGTTTCTTTCTTTTTGCCTAATTTTATATTAAAGGTAATTTAAAAAATAGTAATTTGGTATTAAAAATAGCTACATAAAACTAAACACTTGTATTACAGATGTTAAATGTTAAAATATTCAGTACAAGAGTCAGTCAGTTTGTTACCAAACTCGTTGATGAAACCATTAGGACTAGAGAAGAAAAGAATATTGTTCGACCAGATATGATTCATTTAATGATGGAAGCAAGAAAAGGAAAACATGAGTATGATTTAGTTGACGAAGATGACAATGATGGGGCATTTGCAAGTTTGAAAAACAGTAGTCCAAATTGTAAGTATTTTTGTTTTATATGTTTTAATTCCCTAATCTATTATGAATATCATGAAACTTCAATTTTTATATTTTGATATACGCGATAACGAAAAAGTTTGGCAATAAGATATTTTCTATGCAATGAATGAATGTTTAATTACGAAATTGTAGGGTGCAGAGGGCAGAATTTCTTATAGGCATTATTTGTTGTGTGTTAGATAGTGTTCGAGTACTTTACTAATCCTATACATACAGGGTAGTGAAAAAGTCTGACAGTAAGATACAGTCTGTTCGCTATACTTACGCGGGTTTCGGATTAAAAATTTTATGAGTATTTCCAGGTAAGTACCCGAAAGTTTGACCTGTTCTTTGGTAAAATATCAACTGATTAAATGAAATGAAAAATAATGTACAACTTTTTAATTAAATAATAATGGAAAATCTTTTGTATAATTGAGAGAGAATTAAACTTCTTCATTAATGGAGTCTAATGTGGCTATTATAAACCTAATAATAATTTTATATTACACTTCATACAGAAAATATGGTCTATGTATAATAAGAGGGCTATTTAACTCAAATAAAATATTTTCTAACATAAAAATTTGTTCCATGTAGAGAATTTCAAATGAAAAATAAAACAATTGAACTATCATAATCGTCATCATCATCACTGTCATCACCATTAATTGTTATTATGATTGGACTTATTTCGTTTATTTTATTTTCATAAAGCCACCAATCTTCTATTAGTTTCTCGCACTTGGATATACAGTTCCGCCACACTTCTGGAGTTGCAATTGAAAGTGCTTTTCGCCAAGTTTCCCGAACTGCGTCGTTACTATAACCATTAGGCCCAATATGGTTGTCATAATATTGTTTTGCTATTCCCCATATATATTCGATGGGATTAAACTGGCAATGATACGGTGGCAATGATGATCGTAACTTTCAATAATCTGATCCACAACAAAGGTTTTTGGTTTTGCGTGTATATTTGCCAAGCGTAATAATTCTAATTTTAATATACATTGAGGAAATGGTATATGTTCCTTTGTCAACCATTCTTTAATTTTATCAACAGTCCACGAATTCGTTGAACTTTTATTTAATACTTCAGAATGGTAAGGTGCATTGTCTAAAATAATTACGCTGGGCTCACTTAAACCTGGGAGAAGTTTTTCATGGAACCATTTTACAAACATTTCTATGTTCATATTATCGTGATAGTCACTGGATTTTGATTTAGATGAAAATATTAAATTAGCACCTTCTATAAAACTCGATTTCCCTCCTGCTTGTAAAATTATGTGTCGCTTCCCTTCTCTATCGGTATGTTTGATGGACTTTACGTTATCATCTTGCCATATTCTCTTAGTTGCACCCCTAGAAAATATCCATGTTTCGTCTAAATATATAAAATTCGCCCCTTCTTCTTTAAATTTAGAATATTTTCTTAGAAAGTTAATTCTCTTGTGCACGAGAGAACTTCTTTCACAAAGGGCCTTTCAGTTATCCTTCTTCTATTAATTCCAAGAGAATTGTATTTAAGGTCACATGTTCCTTGTTGGTCCTCATTCGATAAATGGTATCACGAATTTCAAATTTCTTTCCATCTGGAATATCTTTCGTTTTCAATGATGGGCGAGTTTTGCGGTGATCTTCTTTCGGCAGTTCACTATTGTGATTTTGTAATACTCCTCTTAATTTGGTTTCACTAATTCCTAGAGCATCACATACGCGTTGTTGTACAGACATTACCGATTTTAAAGGACCGCCATTTTCTTTTTCATCCGTAAAATACTTATGTACACTACAAATTAGACTATCTACATCTAACGCACGTCTAGGCATTTTTAAAATTTTCACTAAATTTACAATATACATACAATGTCAACACTTGCAAAGATTCAATTCAACTGCAATACTTGTAACAAATTTAGTACCTACCCTAATGTTATTTTAATTCAAATCTGACCATTAGGGCAATTTTACCTAATTTCTTGGGAAGAGGGTTATTGGAACTGGTTGTCAATGACTAATTTGTATAATTTTGTTAATCCGAAACCCGCGTAAGTATAGCGAACAGACTGTATATTAGGGTGATAAATGGGACTGCATTACATCATAGTAATGTGCTACTTTTTTAGCATTCTCAAAAATAGGAATAAATAAGCTATATAACTCGACCTAAGTTGTCATTACCTATCAATAGATGGTGGTATTTTGCCTTAAAAGTATCTACTCCATAATTTTATTTAATATCCTATATATAGGACGCTTAGTAGTTGGTCTATGACTAATTGAGACGGCTGCAAATCAGCAATAATTTTATGAATGTGGGTCCCATGTACTTTTATCTGAGATAAAAAAAATCGAAAACTTACTTCTTTGATACAGACACCAACATTTATTGACCTATTTTTTTGTAAGTGAATCAAAAAATGCCAAAAATGGAAATAACCAATAACATGATAGCTGCTCAGGCATTAATTTTTATCGTTGGAGGATTAGAAACCGTAGCTGTACTCGCCAGATTTATGGCTTACGAACTGGCAGTGCACCAGGATATTCAAGAAAAATTACGGAACGAAATCAATGAAACATTAGAAGGTTTAGAAAATAATGTCACGTATGAAGCAATACATAAAATGAAGTATATGGATATGGTTGTCACAGGTAAATTTTAAAATTTATTTAATTAGAAAAAAGTATATCCCCAGTAAATGTTATATGGATTTTTGAATTCTGCATCAAAATGTCAACTTTGATTTAAAGATGGACATATTTGACAAACTAATTAAAATTTCTTGTGCCACTTATTTCCAAATATGTAAATTCACAAACACGTACATGTTAGTTCTATATATGAGATTTAATTGTCCATAATTTAAAGTCTATAAATTTTGTTATTTTAAATAAAACCTTTACATTGTTAGACGAATGTAATTGGATTCTTTTATACCTAGAATTGCTATTATTCTTTAACAAATTCAGATAATCCAAAAATGTACATATATATTTCACAGGCAGACGTATTTACTATTTTTTACAGAAACCCTGAGAAGATGGCCAAGTGGTTTGGCACTAGAGAGGATTTGCACCAAAGAATATACCATTCCACCTAAAAAAGCAGGTGAAAAAGAGTTACTAATAGAAGAAGGAACTCTTTTATGGATACCTGTAATAGGACTACACTATGATCCTGAGTATTTTTCAAACCCTGAAAAAATGGACCCAGAACGATTTAATGACGAAAATAAAAATAAAATAAACAAGGATGCATATCTTCCATTCGGACAAGGTCCTAGACTTTGTATAGGTAATAGATATGCTCTACTAGAAACCAAAGTTATCTTTTTTCATATTTTAAAAACATTTAAAATAGTTCCAGTGGAAAAATCTAGTATTCCTATTAAAATTGTTAAAAATAGTTTTATTCTGGATGGACATAATTTTAAATTTGGTTTGAAAAAACTTTAATAACATTTACCATATAGTTAATATTCTTTTATGAAATTTTTAGATAATACTAATAATTGGTAACATGTAAAATAACCTGGGTAATGTTGTCATAGGAAACTTGTTTAAATTAAATAATATTTTTAAATAAATAATAATTAAAAATATATAAATTTGTTTATTTAATTTTACATGTGTTAGAACATGATGTTAAAATATTAAATAAGGTTTTGAAAAAATTGACATGTAACTAACAACCCTAAATAATAAATTAAATAAAAAACAAATAAAATAATTGTTAATTAAAAATACAAAGAAATTAAATCTATGGTTAATAAATATCTATAATTTATTAAGCAATGTTATATTAGAGTCACGGAGGGGAGGGGAATCACGTATAATATTTGTGAAAATGATTGAAATGTGAAATAAACTGTATTACTAATTGTACTATTATAGCAAAAACAATTTTTAAGGAGTATTTTTTAAATCAATATTTTCTCATTTTATAAGAGTTTTACAGTAAATTAAATTTAACAATTGGAAAAGTACTTTATGTCAACTAATAATACCTTACTTAAAGTCAATTTCGCGAATTTTAGTTTATAAGTAATTAAACACTGAAATACCGAGTAAATTCTTTCGAAATGTTAGGTGGAATAAAGCAAAAAAATTCCATCGTATTTAATATCGGATAATTTTAATTCCTTTCTGGCGAGGGATTCCATTTGAAAATCCAATATCGAATTGGTCGATATCGCCAAATTTTATAATTTCAACATGGACTCGAAATCGACTAGAACGAAATCGTTTTAGTCGCCGTCTCTAGAGTATCGGTTTAATTGATTTCGATTGTTGTTACGTGACTTATGACAGATTATTTGTATTTGAAGGTCATGAACTGTTTATATTTATCAAAAGTTTAAATCAACCGTGGAAAATTTAAAATGAAATATTTTTGTTTACTACCTAAACCTGTAATATTTCCTAATTTTTAACATCGCTGCTTAATTAATATGTTTTCAAAAATACGGATTGAGTATATGAATATGAAAATGTTACTTCAAATTGCTTCAAATATCTAAATTATAAAGCCCGCCACTTTTTAAATCGCTTTACTTGGTAGTGTCCTACTTTATCGACTGAAACCGATAGGTGTAGTTCAACCGTAAGCGCTTAGCACGCCACTGTCGAGGTCAGACAAACTTGATACCAACCAGGGCTGGTATATCTAAGGGGGTCGCGACAACTGGGTCTATGTCGCGACCCCCTTAGATATACCAGCCCTGATACCAATTATTTATATGAAATCCGACCCCCCGTGATAGCACTAGAACTATTGGAAAGGCTTTTGGTAGGTAGAGAGGGGGTAAACGTCAAATTGCATATATTTATGGACTATAAATAATTAATAAACATGTATAATATCCAAATTTCAACAGCTATTCACAATTTACTCGAAATTGTTATTAACATCTATAAAATAATTTTATACGCCAATGTATCGCGTCCAATTCGTTTAGATCCTCCGCAAACCTGTCAGTTTATGTGTGTAATTAGGGAGAACTGGCAAAAGCCTTTCTAACTTCGGCCCCTGCTATGCTAGAAACTCGAAACCATTTCAAAAGGAAATCGCAAGTTTGTTGATATCGGATGAATATCGACTACCAAAAGCAATTCTTTAACGTAATTTCGTAACTAATTGGAATCCTCCTGATGGCATGACATTAGTCTTAAAGTCTGTGAACATAAGCGGACATAGCAGAACAGGTTTCGAATTAACGTCTGTCAAACGATATAAAAAATATCATCTAGAAAAACATGGCCAGAAATCCAAGATTTGTACCGATTTCAACGTCATTCAAGCCAATAAATTGGCAATTGATGGTATATACTCTCTTAGTATCAAACAGGAAATTAAAATACAGTTAAAGCGATCTTGAAAAATCGTTCGATATTATTTTTAAATTTATAAGCAAACCTTCAGAATACGTTACGTCTATAAAAAATAATTTTCTTCATAATTTGACTAAGAAAATGTAATTATTCATGAATAATTTGAATAATTAATGTATTCTACCTGCAACAGATACGCCTTAAACATATCTACACACTAAACAGCATTTTAAAAAAATCTTTTTCTTATGTAGCATCAAAAAATATAACAAACCTCTGCCAAAAATTAGATTCCACAAGTTATTTAATAAAAATAAACGTCTAAAAGAGTAGAGCAGTAACACAATCAACAATAAAACTATGGCAACGTCTAGGATATAAAAATTGTTATCTAACTAAGTTAAGTAAAAATTAAATGACTATAGTGTTTATTTATTTTCTAAATACGTATTTTTTGTTAGGTTGAGTTAAAAATAATAATATTTTACTATTATCACCTTGAATTCATCCTATACGAAAATAGTAAAGTTTTTTTTCACCAGATACATTTAAAAAACTAAAATTTACTGATTTTGATATGAAACATAAGCTCCAAATTGAAAATTTCTAAAAGAGTTGTATAAAATTAAAAAACCATTTTTCTAAAGTCTGTATAAATGTGTAAGTACTACTTCTTTTAACAAACGCTATAGGATTTAATTAACTAAATAGTTCTGTAATATTTTTAAGCTAATATTCTATTTTATAAACATTTTTTCAGCTTTTATAAAACATCAAATTATTACTTGTGACTTACCTACAAACCATGGATTCCTAGTATTATTTTCAACATTCAAATTCAAAAAATATTCCTTGAAACCAGTAACTTCTCTAGCTTGCGGTTGCACGGAAAGTGTTCCTTCAACTTCAGCCTCATTACCTTCGGAAACTAGTGATCTTGCACTCCAGCCATCGCTGCCTATCCACGAGAAATAACCAGTGGCATTACAACGACGAACAGCTTTCATTAGCTCTGCAACTTCTTGATCGGAACCAAATACTATGCAGCCTGAAATAAAAAACAAGAGTTAATATTGTATATTACCTACTTTATGTACGCTACGAAGTAGACGTATATGCATATATTCGTATACATACAAGAAGTCTTTTTAACAGCAAAACTTGCTTCAAATATACTTGGTCACCCTGTACCTTAAAATATGAAGTCCATAATTACTTTGTTTTAGTTATTCGTATATTCAGTTTCAATAAAATTCTCTTCAAATTACTATGGAAATTTTAAATTAATTTTAGCTAATAACTTAATTGAATTAACAAAATGGAGTCGGAATACTTCAATGAAAAATAATGAATTAGTAGAATGGAAATTTAAATTAATTTAATTTATCCCTACGTAAAACAATTTAAAGTATTTTATAACTCATTTACTAACTGAACTTTTATGTTTTGTAATATAGTTAAATTGAGTGAAGTGTTCGATGTTTTATATTAATTCTAAATAGTTAATCCAATCAATGAGGGTTTGTAATCTCTTTTAAAAATTGTAGAATGTGGTAAAATGAAAACTTTAGTATCAGTCGGTTTAAAACTTTTGGCGACTTTTAAGTTCTTGTAGGGTGAAGTACGCATTTAACTATTTGTATTTTTTAGAAAAAGACAAATAACTACTACTTCAAAAGTTATTTCTACCTCCAAATACTTTTTTCATTCTTTGGTAATGATTGCAATGCCAGAATTCGTTATATACATATAATTTTTAAACTTGAAGTAGGTAAACATTTTAAAAGGACATCAAAAATAAATGTCTTATCTGTCTTTCTTTAAAGAATAGCAGATGTTGTACTGAGAAAAAATTCCGTGTTGCTTCTCGTACTTCATTATTTTTTATAAAAATTTAAAGTAGAGAAACCCCGCTTTGGTTTGTCCTATACAAAAACTCGGTATAGATTATGAAATTCGTAATTTTACATTATAATTGAAAAACACCGCTTGAGAATACTAAGTAGAGAAACGTTTTAAATGGAGACTAAAAGAAAAAGAGTTATTTTATAAACTTTCCAAGCTTTGAATATGAAAGAAGGTATTTTTATTTTTAATAATTATATTATCACATTTTTAGAAAGATCCTTTAAAATTCTTGCTTATACTTAGTAAAATGAGGATATTTAAAAATTTTAAAAAAGTTTTAAAGAGTAAAACGTAAGAAAATGGAACAAGGTCTAAGATTTTTTTAGTATTATTTAATGGAACATAACAATGATTTAAAAAGAAAAAAATCAACATTATGAAGACGTAATATAGTAGAAAAGAAGCTCATGAATTATTTCAGATACTCTGAAGTCAAAAATAGATTATGCAGACCAAATTAACCTATTGTAACGTTTATTTTAAACATTTTAGTATTTATTTTATTAACTAAAACCACTAATTTATTTTATAACTAATTTATTTGTAAATAATATTAAATTAACAGTATTTATCTTTACAAATCAAATATGTAACTGTCTCTATAATTTTATATAAAATAATGAAGCTTCTCAAACATTTGCGCATCCGCCAAAATCTACAATCGCCAAACCACCATTTATATTAACACCTTCGCCAAAAATTGCAATCTCGTATCAGTCGTCAAAGGTTCAAGCAGTTTCTAAAGTAGCGCAACCATAAAATTTTAAAACTTTTCACTAGGATTGACTGTTTATACCATGGGCGAATCTATATTGGACGGCTTATTCCATCGAATGTTTTTGACCCAAGAAAACTTTTTATTTGAAGTTTATTTGGTTGTGGCCATTGTTTAACAGCGACGCCATCCTAGCTGTCCAACTAATTTAGCATCAGTAGATCAGCTTGAAGTCGTTTAAAAACATCTAATTTTTTTAGATTTTTATAAAATGTGTTCCCCAGGACTATGATGTCGTCTAAATACACCAGGATAACCATTTCAACATAGTTTTCATGTATTTTAAATGTCATGGGGGCATTGCATAGTCCAAATGACATGATACTGAATTGTTAAAATCCAGATCCAGTGATAAAGACTGTCTTTTCTTTGTCTACTTTTAATCTAAAGTTAAAAATAGTTCACTCCTGGCCAATGTGTCCCAAGGTATCTTCCTTTACAGCTATTGCCACAAATAGATGTAGGAATACCTCTTCGGTACTAACTTTGATTACTTAGTTCTTAAAATCCAATTGAAAACCATGTAAGTTTGGTGTCTTCAGTATCCACCAATAATATTTTAATGGCTTCAGCGAATTTTTGTATTTCTTTCTTATTGTCATTTTCTGTCTGTAAACGTTTAATATAATACACCATTAAAGTCTGAATTGTTTAAAAAGAGGTTGGCAAGTACGTGAACTGAAAGATAGGAAAAATAAAAACATTCACAGGGATAGTCCTATTACCTAAATTACTTGTACACTTAATCTTATACCGGACATTTCTTTTATTTACCATTCTTTCAAATCGTGACACGAAAACTAATACTGAAGGCGGTGGAAAGTTTTTAGGCCTTACAAAAAATATTATGTGAATTGGACTGAGGTATCGTTTAGAATAAAAACCAGGAAAAGTGAGTGTCGGATGAATTTTAAAGAGATTGAGTTCTTGAAAAGATGGAAGGTAGAAAAACTTTAAATTGGATTATAATACGTTCGGTGAAGTTGAACAATAAAAATTGCTTATAGCTGTAGGCGGATAATAGTAATGGCGCCTAATGCAGATGAAATGATTTATGGTTTATTTTTAATAGTTAAAAAGATATTGAATACAATATAAAATATTGTTATTAAATATTTTTAAATGATTTATGATATTTTTTTCTTTTTACACTTTAACTTCATAAAATACGTATATTAAAAAATTTACTTTAAAAGATGGATAGAATGGTTATAAAATTGTATTCTTTCAATATACTGATATCAATACACTCATTCGTTTTATCGCAGACAATTTATTTTTAATTTTCATCTTCAATCAGCTTTTTTAGTTTAAAAATAATGAAAGCACTTTTATCTTAGTTTCAAATATTATGTGTCTTAGAAATAATTGATTTATCTTAAAAATAGTTTAATTTAGTAAAATTTTCAGATTAAATAAGGGTAAATTACTTTAAGAAGTAACATTTTTTGAAATATACATTTATTTTAAAATTTTTGCACCACGCATAATATATTTCTATATAAACTTCAAAAAGAGTGTGGTTTTAAACATTATAATTTTGTCCATGAAACATATTAGTGTATAAAAGTCGTTTCAAGTCTTTTCAGTTTTTTTTTTTAATTTTATTCGAGGATATTACCGGAATTAGTAAACGTAACACAGAAACTAACAATTTAAAAATGCTTTGCTAAGAATTTAAATTATGTTTATCTCATTTAATTTTATTATTTTAGCTTTACATGAATTTTTAGTAGGTATAACTCGAAAGCTAATTTTCCACATATGAGGATTGTTTGAGTGTGCCGGTTTAATGTCTCCAGTAATGCGATTTTATATTTCCACATGTTTTGTTGAATTTTCAACTAGAGCAATGTTGTTGTTAATGGGCGAACTTCATGCAAATATAAAACAGTAATGTAATTTAATTCTTCATGTTACCACAAATTATTAACAAAAAAATAACTGAAACATTCACTGTGGGTTCTTAATGAATTACACATAAAAATCACACAGAAATATTAGGCAGCATAGCAAAACTATTTGAGAATGACGGAAGCTATTTACATGTTAAATATGGAAAATAAAAAATTCACAATACTTACACAATTCGTTAATTTTAAAAAAATATCTGTAATCAAAATATGTAAATCAAATTTCATATTTTCATATCTATTTTGATATTTCTTATTTTACCAGATCACTTGGAATATAAGTCTTGTTGAAGGCTTGTTTTATATCAAAAAAATTACAATAAAATTTGCAATTTCCAGATGGAATAAAAAGCAATAAAATATCAATTTAAATACCATTAAAATTTTTCGCAAACACACTTACACCCAGTAATTTGACACTGTAATAGAATCGACATAACCCTATGTTTAAAATTAAATTATTGGAAACCGAACCTGTCTGAAGAACACATGTGTGTTTCTAATAGGTACTCGAGTGTGAATATAAATTGAATCTCAAGTTAATTTGTAATTTTGGCTCTGAAATGTCGAGAATATTTATTGGATTCCTTGGAACTAGCAATAATGGCCATTTGTTTGAAACTGCTGACAATTGGATCTGCAGCCGTTCGTTGTAGGATGTGAATAACAATATTAAATCAAGTTGGAGAAAATATTAATTTAATTGATAAAGCAATAACTCTATCAATCTTCGATCAAAAATGTACAGTCAACAAGATTATTGAATTTGTTCGTCTTAAATTCTTATTAATAACTTTTTAAATGTTTATATATAATTGTAAATTTTAAAATTTTTCCCCACCTGTACTGTAAAACTGCCATAAAATTAAATATTTTATAATTTTTTGAGGTTATATATTTTAATTATATCTAGAATCATTGAATTCTAATAATTTTAATTCAAAATAATTCAAAACTACAGTTTCTTCAACTATTTCTGATTAAGAAATGATGTATATTTCCTTATTTGATAATTTTATCTTAAAGTAATTATATCTGTATATAAATCGTCGAAAAAATGTACTGTACAACTCCAGTGTTCATTTGTATCGCATTCGAAGCTTGTTTTTGTGCGATTTAATCAATATATCCACTCTTGTTACACAAACTAATATTTCAAATCAACTATTAATGTATTCATTGAAAATCCAAAAAGTTGAAAAATAATTTACATCCAGATAACTAAGTTACGCTGTGTTGACTTTATAACAACGATATGCGCATAATATCACTCTAGCGCGACCTCCAAAATATAATATGCTCATAAAAAGTCAGTAATGTGTTTTCATCAGCCTGTAGATTATATATCAACCCAACTGTATCCCGAATATTTGTATTCAACATCAATCACAATGGAGTCGTAGAGTCCAATCGATTAAATGGAGAATTTGGTTTGACAACAATGGTCGCCAG